ATCAAAAAGCATTCGCTGCTCCTTGAGAAAACATTCAGGAACTGCAAAGACCTGGAGACATTTTTTAAAAGGAGGGAGATCACGTGATCACTGAGTCATTTCCTGGAAGGGAAACTCCCAGTGGTTGAAAACTGAAAAAGCGAAACTTAACTTGGGTCTTCAGCGCGAGGGAGCCATGGCTGCTGCAGGGGGTCACATCCAGCATCTCCGTGATGAAGCCACTTGCTCCATCTGCCTGGATTACTTCAAGGATCCAGTGACCATCCCAGAGTGTGGGCACAACTTCTGCCGATCCTGCTTGATCCAGTGCTGGGGGGAATCGGAGGCAGAGGCTTCCTGCCCTCAGTGCAGAGAAAGAGTCCAGAGAAGGAGCCTCATCCCCAACCGGCAACTGGCTAACGTGGTAGAAATAGCTAAGAATCTCAGCCTTCAAGAGGGAAAGGAGGAAGGAGGGAAAGGAGGAGTCTGCGAGGATCACCAGGAGCCCCTGAAGCTCTTCTGCAAGGAGGATGAAGCCCCCATCTGTGTGGTGTGTGACAGATCCAAGGAGCACAAACACCACGAGGTGATTCCTCTGAAGGAGGCTTTCGAGGAATACAAGGTAGGAGATCCCTGGATCTTGAGGGGGAGAAATACCTGTGGATTTTTCTTGGGAGGTTTTCTTTTTACTTCTCAGGTCCAAAGTAGGCATGGCATGAATTCATCCTTGTTTATTATGTAAAAAGCAGCCAAGGGGAAGCCTGAGGGCTCCTGGCATGGCTCAGAAGAAGGAGTCACAGTCTTTCTCTCTTCCAGGGGGACAAAGGGATCTCCCTTGATATCCCTGAAAAGCATCTGCAAAGACTAGATGGAAGTCTGTAAGCAAGGGGTGACCTAACTGGGTCCCTGAGCCCCACAGGGCTGGCACAGAAAAAAGGTAGCTGGTCCAGGGAGCCATGGACCCAAAAAGGTTGAAAACCTCTGGACTCTTATTTCCTCGAAAAAACTACTCTGCTATTATAGCAAGACCACTGGGCGCAAGAAGCCAGCATACTATTCACCTCAGGTGAATTCACTCAGGTGTCTCAATCGAAACTGAGTATTTCCTTTTTCTTTTCAGGCAGAGATCTGTCGCCACCTGGAGATTCTGAGGAAAGAGAGAGAGGGAATTCTGGCCCATCAAGCAGCCCTGGACAAGGAAAGCAAAGACCTCCTTGTAAGTGTCTCTATTGTTACTAGTAAGGGAACAAGCACTTGAAGAGTCGAGTCAGGACTGAGGAGGGATGGGGAAATCTGCCCATTTGAGCTTCTCCCCATTTCTCCTTTTTCCATATCAATCTGTTTATTAATTTATTATTCTGAAAATGAATCAGATGTTAGGGTAGCTACTTCCTTGTATAAATATTTTGAAATGTACTTTACCCTCATAAATATATATTTTTGTGAACATTACCTGGCTTGTTCAACCTTGAAAAATTCAGAGGTGTGAATTTCAAAGGATTGCTCTGTTTCATTCTCCATATTTTTTCAGCAATAGTAAATTAGGCAAATTCACTTTTGAATGCAGCTAATTTGAGTTTATTTTCCATTGTTGTTTATTATATGAATAGCAGTGAAGGAGGAGCCTGAGGACTTGTGAGCTGAGAGGGTGGAAGTGGTTCAATTCAAATCCTGATTTACCATCAATATTACTGAAGAATTGTCTTTCTAAATGTGCGCTCTTGTTCATCTTTAGGAGATTCAGGGAGCTAAGGGGATAAACTCTGCGCTTTCTCCTCATTCTCCTGTTTCTGTTGCCTTCCTACACCTCAATGGTCCCAGTCTAAATTGAGGGTGTTTTATGTCCATGGACGTTCTCTGGACAGCTATGAACTCTGCTTATGCCATGCCCCGAATCATGCAGGCAATATCCTGTGGGGATGTTTAGGGAGGCAGGAGAAGATATATTATTTTATTATATCCATAACTTTCGCCGGCAAGTTCTATAACTTAGCAGAGTTGCTAAACAATCCCCCTTTTAAATTACACAG